TGGTTTGAGACAAGTGACAGAGCAACCGAAATATGTAGCAAAATAAACTGCGTATAGTGTTTCGTTTTGTTTTCTAAAGCGTGGACACAGGTGATTAGAAAAAACCGATGCATCGGACGCTTTCGATATTTATCGATGCATCGATTAATTTTTCGGCACATCGATTAATTTTTCGGCACATCGGGTTTTATGCTAGCATTTTTTCTACTTGCTACCACCAGAGGGTTTCGAGTTGAATACTTTCAGTGCTAGAGCATCGGAGTACATTCGAACGACATGGCCAAGCCAGCGGAGCCGCTGTATTTTAATTCGCTGCATTATGTCCATGTCGTTGTAAAGCTCATACAGCAAATCTTCCGCAAAGTCTTTGTCCCGAATACTCCAAGAGCCGCCTCATCGGTTGCTGCCATTGTCCATGCTTCTGCGCCATATGCCAGCACGGGCATAATCAGTGACTCATGGAGTGTAGTTTTCGTACGTCAAGCGTTTAGCGGGGATGCCAAATTCAGACATAGCGGCGTATAGGCAACTCCTTTGAGTGCTGTCGAAAGCTGCTGTCGTTATCTATATCTTCTATATATATATATATATAATAGATATGCAAAGGGATCTTTTGGGCTGTCAGATTAAAGGGCTTGGGCTGTAGATGTGCAACATGGTTTTACTTTTTCGAAAAGAGTTGCCACCTGTTAAATAATTAAACTCAAATGATTAAATAATCAATGCCCTCAGATCCGAACCATTCGTTTGATTTTCAAAGGTGAGGTGTCAAATTAAAGGGCTTTTTCAAAAAGCGTTGCCACCTATAAAGAAATTAAGCTTGAATTATTTGAAAAGTTAAATCAATTGTTACAATATGGGTAGCCACCGAAATGAGTTTGAAAAGGCTTTGTATCATAACTACGTGAAGGAGGGTTGCCACATGTATAACTTATCGAATGCAAGTTTAATTGAAGGAATTAGGTAAGCGAATAAGGTATCAATAGCGTGTCAGACAAAAGAGCTTTAAGAAGGTGATAGTTTGAAAATATTACACAGCGAAATATTAAATTATGTCAAACAAAAGAGTGTTAAGCAGTCTTTAGTTTGAACACTAAGAATATTTTTAAGGTGTTTAAAGAGGGTTGCCATCCGTTTAAAAAGTTAAATTCAAATAATTTAATAAGGTAAATAAAATATTAAAATACCGGTATCAATCGAAATGGCTTTGACAAAGCTTTATTCCTAAATTATAGATATTTAGTGGGTTGCCACATGTTAACAAAATCAAATTGATTTATATTTAATTGAAATATGTATCACAATGGCAGACGAAGGTAAGTTAAGAAGGTTGTAGCTTGAAACTACTTTTTAAGAGGGTTGCCACTTATTTTAAATGTAGATTTTAATTAACTTGTACGAAAATTATTTAAAATATGAAAATATTGGGGTCAAGCGAAAAACTGTTATATAATTTTTAGTTACATAAAAATATTTTTGAGATGTTTGAAGATTATTGCCACCCGTTTAAAAGATAAATCCCAATTATCTAAAAAGTTGAATGAATTATTAAAATATAGGTATAATTCGAAATGGGTTTAAAAAGGCTTTATATCTGAATTATATTTAGAGGATTGTCACACGTTTAAGAAAGCAAATTCAAATTAATTCATCAGTTAATTGAAATACGTATCACAATGTTAGAGAAAGAGATTTTAGCTTGAAAATATTTTTGAAAGGTATTTCCCCCTGTATGAATAGTCGAATTTAGTCGCAAGTACGCAAGTTTTGTGAATATTAAGATGAAATCGTGAATAAATAAATAAATATCATTGAATAGGCTTGCCACCTTTTCAAAAAGTCACATTGATCTAACTAAGTACGTATTTATATTGTACGAAAAGAATTTTTTGTGAAGGTCATTAGACTTACACCGTGCTTTGGAATTTGGAATAGTATACATAAGTCGAAGTGCATGTAGACGTGGGTTGATTTTATTAACCGACTTCCAAAAAAGGAGGAGGTTATCAGTTCGTCGGAATATTTTTTTTTTTTTTTTTATGTATGTTACCGCATAACTTTGGACCACGTCAACCGATTTCGATAATTCTTTTTGCATCGGAAAGGTAGTGTCCCAGAGGTGGTCCCATACTAATCTGGTTGAGATCCGATCAGTGGATCATGAGATATATATATATATATATTTTTTTTTTTACATGGGAGTTGAAGTCGGTTTTTTTTTTGCTAAAAATTACTTGTTTTTTGAAGTAAGAACTTTGTTATTGGTAAATGGCAAACCTCATAGTGTATTTCCGCCATGAAAAACAGCTTTCCATAAAAATACAATCGCCGTTCGGAGTCGACGCAAGACTGTAGTCCCCTTCCGTTTGTGTTGCAACACCAAGGCGCACTCCACAAATCGGAGGAGAAGCTCGGCCTAACACTAGCATATGAGTAAGCGTCAATCCATTATTTTTATACGAGACCTCTCTTCACTCAGGAATGGCTGCACCGATTTAGATCAAATATGGCACTCGGATCGCTAACTAATATTTGGAATACTTTCTAGGTTTTTGGATTAAAATTTTTGGCATTTTAACGCCGTGCGGGTTCACTAGTTATTATTATTCTGATATCAAAATATTCCACTCGGAACCAGCTTGTGGTAGAGGGAGGCCTCCTCTGTGACAGATAGGAAGTGTGGAGAGAGACTCGGCTCTTCCGTTGGCATTTCCGATTAGGGTTAGTTAACACAGAAGGGCAAGGACCGATATTCTTTATTGAACTCAGCCAAAACCGGTTAGGTGGTTTTAAAGTGACACACAGAACTTTTTCTTACCCGAGACAGGTTTTTATATTTAAATTTGCCAAAGAAAAACTTATCTTAACTAAATGTTTATATAACTTTCGAATAAAATAAAAACCGAAACATATTGATCTTTTGTGGCCGAATATGTCGAAATCTTGAAATCTTTTTCTAATTGCCATTTTTTAGTACTACTAAGTATGATGCTTGGTTAAATGTTACTTAGCAACATGTTGCTAAGCGATAAATGTTGCACAGCTTACAATTGAGAGTTTAAGTATGTGCTTGAGAGAGCGATCAAAACAAAGTTAGATGAGAAGCTGCGCTGCTAATAAAGAAAAACTATTTCAGCATGGCTAATAGACATTTAACATGTTACGGCGCAGTGCTGTGGGAATATCGGTTCGGCGCTAAGTTGTCTGGAAAGATACTAGGGATGCCAATCCCGAAAATTTCCAAATATCAAATTAATAGTAAGAACTTGTTTATGAATTTGAAGCATATTTTTGTAAAATGTCGTCTTGACTACAATTAACAAAATGCTTGAAACTGTGCTTTTAAAATTACTCATAGTATCGCTAATGAAAACGAAACAGAAATTGTTAAAGAAAAGTTACATAATTTTTTAAATCAATCTACCAAAAATTTCTCAATTCGAAAAACTTATAATTTATCCGATGTGCTGGTAAGTAAAAGAAGTTCAAATATTTTTTGATGCAGGAGAAGGGAGTTATTATCTTCGAATGAATACCTTTTGACAGTTCAGCGTAAAAGTGTTGAGGCCGAAAGATGTTTTTTTCAGCAGGTTTTGTATGTAACAAGTTTAGGTAAATATTAAAACACTCCGCGTTAAATACTTTGCTGCTCTTACGTACACATTTTAAGTGCAATCATAACAACACCTGCACAAAAAATCACCAATCCCACCTACCGACATGTATTTCGACCCGCTAAATCCGAATCTGAGGTCCGTTTGACTAGTTAACCTTCAAAATTTTGAGTAAATTGCGATAAAATTGCAAAAAAATTTGCCATTCGCCATTTCTTTATAGAGTACCTAGAGTATACATGTTGAAAGAATTTATTTTTTTATATGTTTGTTTAATGTTTTTTTTTTTTAGTAATCATTACTTTCAAGAGTACCCAATATTTGCACTGTTATCTATGATGCATGCGTTCCTCAATCACATGGTTTTTTTTTAACTACAATTTAAACAATTTAAATTTACCTCTATTAATAAATATGTATGTGATTTTTACAACCAGTTTATTGTAAATTTTAAATAGTTTTATTTCATCGTATGTTTAAATGCCTTCAGTTATTGAATTTTTACCCATATTCATAAAAGTTAAATCTCAATGTGAATCCCGGCATCCCGAATTACTAAAAAAAACATCTCGAAATCTTGGCATCACCATTTTGCGCATATTTTGACAGCCCTAGTAGATACATACATACATACATACATAGTTAGTTCCGTGCAGCTAATGTAGGTAAAAGGAAAAGTGAAGAAGAAATGAATGGCAATATGCAAATTAGAATTGTTTCAATGGCCTCTACTGTGGCACTGCGATATAAACAATATGTTACTGTGTCTACCTATTGTATATTTCATTTTTTATGTTTTTAAAAAATAGATGTTACGATGACTATAAAATAATAATAATTTTGCATTAAATTAACTAAGAGCGACGTATTCACAATTTCATAATCCAATGATGGAAAAAGATTTAGGGGGACAAAATTTATAAAACTGGAAATTAACACATTTACCGTTGAAGAGTTTGTGCTGGTGGCGTCCGCTCCATTGGCATTGTCGTGCACGCCGGTTTGGTCTGTTAGATAATCGTCGAAATTTACGTTGACGCTGGCGGAGATACAGATTCCCGACGTTATGCTAAGCAGGATGCATTTTAATGCGAAAACATTGGCTGGGGTATTTGGTGGCGCGATTTGTTAAATGTGGTTATGTGATGGCGTCGTTGAGTAAAAGCAAAGGTCACATCGGTTGCTGACTGCGTATGGGTTGGGCATGCGTGTGCTCTCAAAGCCAATAACTAATCTGAAATAGCCACCATTTGGTGATTTAATTCAAAGGCGAATCAACTGAAATTGGTGAGAAGCGTTTGATTACTTGTTGATCAGCTATAAAAGCGGTAAATAGTTCAGGGTTAGATATCAGTCACACATTTGAACTTGCCATAGTAAGTAAGATAAAGATAACAGCTCAACCCAGTAAAGGCAAACATGAAGTCAATTAATTTTGCTTTAGTGAGTATCAAAGGATCAACTTAAAAGTGCAGACTTCCCAGGAGATCACATATTCATCACGATTCTGAAAACTTTCAAATCTCTTCTTACAGTTTTTCACTATATTGGCTGTAGTTAGCGCTCAGCCTGGTTATAAGTACCAATCGCCGCAATTGCCACCACCCACCAACCACCATCATCAACATCACCACCACCATCAAATCGGTGCACAGCCAGCTGTTCCAATCTCCCCACCACAACATAACAACATTTACTCGCCCATCCAGTCGCCACCATTGCAATCGTTTAACGCGCCGCCACTCTCAACACCACTACCAGCATCACAGCCAGCATCAATTCCATTGCAGCCCCCAGCCCCAGTACAGGAAATTCCACTGCCACAAGCACCACCTCAGCTGCCACAACAGCCCTATGGGCCTCCTCCACAAAACCAACCACTGCCTTCGATTTCTCAGAGCCATCACCAACAAATCGTGCAACAACAAGTCGTACAGCAGCAGCCAGCTCAATTTGGTGCCGCGCAGCTCAGCCTACCCATCCAGCAACAGCAACAACAGCCTTTAAGTTTCTCCGCTGGTGGTCAGCAACAACAGCCATTAAGTTTCTCCTCAGGCGGTCACGGTGGTTTCCCACAGAATTTCCAATCATTCCAGACACGTCCTCAGACTGCCATCATCAGCAAAGATATTTACATTCACTCTGCTCCGGAAGATCAGGAGGAGTCTCTGTTAGGCCAACAGCTGGAGAGTGCACCCATTCGAAAGAATTATCGCATTGTATTCATTAAGGCACCCACTCATAATCTCAAATTGGCTTCGGCTGCACTGAGACATGCTCAGAATGCCAACGAAGAGAAGACTGTTATCTATGTGTTGTCGAAGAAACCCGACTTGACCGAAGTGCAACAGCAATTGCAACAGGCTCAAGGTCAGCAGAAATCACACAAGCCCGAGGTATACTTCATCAAATATAAGAACCAGGAGGAGGCTCAGCGTGCTCAGCAAGAAATCCAAGCGCAGTACGATGCTCTTGGTGGTTCTACACACATTTCCGATGAGGGTATTGCTCCAATTACCTCTGTATCAGGCGGTGGTTTGAATTTGGGCGGCGGTATTAACCCGCAGCATTCCTCTTTCGTGCAACAGAATTTCCAATCGGCTGTTAATTATGATGGACCTACAAACAAATACTTGCCCATCAAAAAGAAGTAATTGAGTTCTTTTGGACTGCGTTAATTTTGTGAATAGTGATTTAGATTTTAAGCCAATTACATACATATTCTCTAACATGTTCACACATTCCACATCAAAACTATAATTTCTTTTATACGAAATAAGTTCATTCGAATCATGCCATTTAAAACACAAATAGTTTGTAATAATTTATTAAAAGAAATAAACCGAAAAGTTATTGTTTTACATTAATTTAGTCTTACATAATTCAATTGAGCTGAGTAAAACATGAATTTCTCTTCATGTCGGGTCTTTTTTTGTGCTGCAAACACCGTACATTCCTAAATAGCACACAGAAGTTATTAAACTTCACTTAAACATTAAACGAAATGCTTTCAAAACAACTTTTTTTGATTATCCCGCATTTCCACTGAGGAATGAAATTATACAAACATTCAATCGAAAAGTGGGCCATTATGATTTATGGAATTACTTGTACTAGATTTCCACCAGATAGTAAATGAAAGCAAAAAAACATTGGCCGAAGATTTGAGCACAATAAATAGGAGAACTTTACAAAAAATACTAAAATTAGTTTGGCATCAAATCAATTCCAATTTCGTCCTAATTATTACAAGATGTTTTTAGTCTAAAAAATTTTTTTCTTTTCTTCCGCGTACCTCTAAAATACTCCAAATTTTCAAACTAAAAATTTCCTAATTTCCATTTCATCAAATTTTTAATCACCTTGTACCGCATGCTCATCTACAGGCCAAGAACTTTAATTTGACCTCTCGTTTTTTTTTGTTTTTAATCAAACGAACGGTGCAGATCTGTAAATCTATACCTACATAGTAAGACAGATGTGACTTTTCGAATAGCTGGCAACCCTAATAAAAATATTTTTAAACTTAAGCTTTCTTAATATTTTTTCTCTACAATTATGTTGTACTGCCTCCCATAACCCATGTATAATTAACCTGGATTCGACTTTTCAAAGAGGTGGCAACTCTCTGCAAAACTTGAACTTCTTGAATTTTCAAGCAAAAATCATCTTAAATCTCTTTAATCTGACATTGCGATACATGGTATGTATCTCAGTTAACCGATAAATTGAAATGAGTTCAATTTCTTAAACAGGTGGCAGCCTTCCTACGTATAGCTTAGAAATTAAGTATTTTTCAATTCAATGTAATTCAATTCAATTTATTAAAGAGTGTCCATTAATGTATTAGGATGAGATCTTTTTTTGCACAATAATACAAACAATAAAACAATGAGTATAATCACGGTTGCCGTTTTGACCGAAATGTACCATTTTTGGTAAATTTTTTTGAGTTTGACAAAATTATTAAATTATTAATTACATCATATGTGTACCTATTTAAAGGCCAAGCCATTGTGTGAAGGCCAACGTACATATCAATCAGGGAAATCTGCTATTAGGGCAACCCAATAGCGTATAAGCTATTTATCTTTGTGGTGAGCTACAATATAGGCAACATTGCCTCTAGATTGTAGGCAGCCTTAAACCTTACAGAGAAGTTTCAGAGATTGAACGTTGGCAAAAGAAAATGACAGATACNATACAAACAATAAAACAATGAGTATAATCACGGTTGCCGTTTTGACCGAATGGACCATTTTTGGTAAATTTTTTTGAGTTTGACAAAATTATTAAATTATTAATTACATCATATGTGTACCTATTTAAAGGCCAAGCCGTTGTGTGAAGGCCAACGTACATATCAATCAGGGAAATCTGCTATTAGGGCAACCCAATAGCGTATAAGCTATTTATCTTTGTGGTGAGCTACAATAAAGGCAACATTGCCTCTAGATTGTAGGCAGCCTTAAACCTTACAGAGAAGTTTCAGAGATTGAGCGTTGGCAAAAGAAAATGACAGATATTAAAACAAATGTGCCAGTTACCAAATGCGGGAAAAAAGGCTGCTTACAACTGCAACTGAATTTCGCGTATTTTATAAAAAACTTGAATTTTCTTGTGGCAGTCGTTGAGCGGTACTTATTTTACTTCTTAAATTCTTCATAATAAGAATCCTAGGTTAAAGGACATTGCTGAAAAATCTTCTGGAGAAACGCGTGATTTTTTGCTTAATATTGGTTTTTCGTTGCGCTCAACCAATCAAAGGCAAACAAAAAAGTCATACGCCCTGGTGTAATATTTTGTGTTTATACATTTGGGTCTGTGGAAAAAATGATCACCTCTATAAATTGTTTTAATGGTCAGCGGTGGATATTACTTACTGATATAAATGCGAAAAGTTTGTTTGTTACGCTATCACGCTTTAACTACTCAACCGATCTAAGTGAAATTTCGCATACTGGTGTCATTTAGCCCGACTTAAAAGATAAGGTAGCTTTTATCCTGATTATACAAAGGGACCTGACACCTCACATACAAACGAAATTTTTCATACTGCATACCTCTGGAAGTATTTGTGGTAGAGTACTGGTACTTGGTATTGGACATATATGTAATCAATTCTATATTCATTGGAAAAAAATGTGCCTTCTTATATACNATACGGCTATCATTTTATGTATATATCGATGGCTGAGTGGAAGATCGACCTATCTCGGCAGCCAGTTCGAAAACGCTCTATCTCAAAAAACTTTTCAAGAACGCCCTATTTCAGAATTCGTTTCAAAAACGCCCTATCTCAGCTGCCGATTCAAAAACGCTCTATATCAGCATATTTTCAATACATTTTGAAGTAAGATAGGGCGTTTTTGAACTGAATTTCGAGATAGGGTGTTTTTCAATTAAATTCTGAAATAGGGCATTCTTGAAAAGTTTTTTGAGATAGAGCGTTTTCGAACTGGCAGCNAAAATGATAGCCGTATTCGTTGTTCTCGTAGATGGGCAAGTTAAATAACACTTTGTAAAATTAGGGTAAGTGTCGAGCCAGTACAGGTTAAATACTTTCTTCGATAACTGATAATAGTTGCACAATTTTTAAGGTAAATAGGTATCGCTAATGTGCAGGCATGTTGAATGCATCTATCGAAGTAGTTTCCTTATAAGTAATGCCGCTGATGCGCGTGTTAGGGTAGGTGTTTTAAATATGCATTTAAGCATAATGGGAGCAAAGCAAAATATGTTGTAAATATGTGTAAATGGGCAGGCATCATTCAATGGGGAACCATTTTAAATGCTTTTTATTTTGTTTTTAATTTTTGGGAAAAGGTAAAATTTGTAATGAAAATTATTAGATTGTTTTTATAAACATTGCACAAAGTTTGGAACTTTGATTTTTGTGAAAAAGCACAGAAATAATTTACTTATGCACAGCAGAGTTGAGTTGAGAAAAATCAATGGTCATAATGTTTTAACGTTAAATGTACATTTTTATTTTAGTTTCCTAATAAATACACAATGAAAAATTTTAATGTTTTGTTGAAATCTTATATCCCCTAAATATTTTTTATTATTTTATTTAGAACAATCCTAGGGGGTTCCGACTATATTTTTTGGTACCACTCTAATGTACATATGTACATGCATACGTACATTTTTTCCAATGCAAGTACCAAAAGTCAATCTTTCTTCTTATTTACTACGTATTCGTATTTTAAAAGCTTAAAATAATCAAGCCCGGAAATATAAAAGTGTTAACGTTTTTATGTACAGTTAAAATTTTGTCGATGCATATTTTTAGGCGCATTGACGTGTTTCCGTTCGGGGAAGTTTCAACAAATACCATTTCCGGACTATAAAACATGCTTTAGCGCATACGACTTCAATATGTTTATGTATTGCTAATAAAATGTCTGCAATTACCCATCGCAGTTTTGCAGTTATAAGAGACAACAGTTATTATTTGTTTCTTCTTCTATTTAACTAAGGTTTACTTGATCAAAGGAGAACAAACAAAAAAATATGCAAAATTAAATAAACTAAATATAAATGATAGCAGATTATAGCATACCTACATACTACTATTAATTCAAACAACTTCTAATGATGTAGTTACTGGTGTTGTTGATGCCTTTATTTATGGTGTTGTTGCATCTATCAATGAGAATGCTAAATTTGTTTATTTTAATTTTATTTTTGCTGCTTTCTACATTATATTGTTGTTCGTTGGCAGCTACTAATTTCGTTAACGTTGGCTACGCCTTTTATCGGCTAAGCGGCTTATGAAGCTTTGTGAAGTGGCATTTACGCTTGGGCAATGCCGGCTTTTGTTGTGGTGTGACTAGATACAGTAGTAATTTTATTGCATTTTGCCTGCTTTCGTCATATTTAATTACATATTTTGGAGTAAACAATGAAATAGTATTGGCATAATGGGAATACCGGAAAGAGCATCCAATTAACCACATAAGTGGAAATTGCAAAACATCTTATTGAACATTGAATTATTGGTAAACAGCTCAATGCTACGAGTTGAAGTCGACAATAAAATTATTTCTGCATACAGACTAAATATAAATAAAATTAGTTGCGCTTACACTTTTGCATAAAGCTTCTTGATGTTGTTACAAAATGATAGGGACTTAGCGTTCTCCGCCGATTTCGAATGTCAAATGGTTTAATGAGACACTTTTTCAGGGCACACTCGGTGATTTTCCATTAATAACACCGTGAGACCAAAACAAAAAATTTCGAATCACACGAAGTAATAAATATACTGAGGAAACTGTGGGCCCAAATATTTATAGTAAAACTGCTATTTTAGTTTTACTCTGATGTCAGAATTTTTAATTCTCTAGTTTGGAGGAATACCGGAGAGATGAACTATATACACACAATGTTAGACAGTTTACAATGGTCACACTGCAGTGCGATTACTGTGGCATTTGGACCATGTTCAACGGAAGCATTGAATGTCATATGTCATCTGCCACTGATTGATCTCTTTATTAAGGAAAGAGTCTCCTGATGTTAAGGGAACTTAGACTGAGGAGATAACGTACGTACGAGCATGGACGTATCTTATTATCTTTCAACGCCCCAAGCACTCTCGAAAAATCTGACTACATGTGTCCTTAGCTTCTCTTCAAGAAAAACT